CACCATCCATGATACGTTTGAACTGTTAAAAAGATTCAAACGAAATTAAACTGGCATTAAGCAAGTACACCACAGTGCTAGACTATCTCCATGTTTCCATTCATTAGATTTGAGCCTTTCTTGCATTCTAATGGATACTGAATTTTTCTAAGCTGATAATACACTATTAAATAACTCCACTAAAACCTTTAAACTATACCAGCAAAAATAATTTAAACACATTTTTGCTAGTATAGTTTAAAGGTTTTATTGGAGTTATTTAAAATTCTAAGGGATAACCTAGTACCAACAACGAATTTATAACATCAGTACATACTTGAATTAGCACACCTCTGCTAAACCTCATTTTTTAGCTTTAATAAGCAAACTTACCTGCAAAAATAAGGTGTATCAACTAGTGATGTGTTGGATTTTTGTATCCGCGGATATCCAAAAGAAAAAAAATCTGTATCTGTTACTTTTTAGCAAATCTTTAACGGATCTTTTATCTTTAAAATTTCATATAAGTAATGAAATTCATTTAAGATAGGTAGCAATAAAATACTAATAACTTCAATTCAAATCACTTTTTATTTCTTAAAATCACATATTTGGCACATTCATATTGCAAAAATTTTATCATGCAAAAATCATTTACTATTGTAAAATATTTCCATATTACACTGCTAAACTTTTTTGTCAACATTGTTTTTATTTTAATTTAACTCAACACTCTAAAAACACAAATGTAATCTATGCTATCCTGTGTCACACTAAACTATAAACAAAAACATGCGCAGTGCAAGTTAAAACATGTCGTGTTACTAATGCAAAGCGTCAACTATTGAGCCAAGGTCATACGCACCAGCTTCGACTGAGTACGAAAGTTGAGATCCGTATCCACGGATATACATTTTTAACAATCCAGCACATAAACAGAGGGCTACCTGTTGGTACTAGTTATGTGAACTGATGGTTTACTTGCTCAAGAACAAAACAATACATGCGTTCTTTCTTCAGATACTTTAATATACCCATCACATTGATGACATTTTGATACTTTGGAAACCCAAACCTGACATGAATAAACTGTTGCAAAAATTTAATGTCAACCCTTACCAACTTACACTTAAAATAGACAAAACTAGCACCAACAAAATCCATTTTCTTGATCCCTACATCATGTTAATATATTCCAGACTTGCAGAATTTGTTTTATCATAAAAATAGCAACCTACTGAACTTTAAAAGAAATTCCAGGATATTTTATTGTAAATTCTAATGTTTTCAATTGTCACAGGAGAGGATATAGCTTTCTACAAATTGGAATGCGGAAATAGATTGTTTTTAAGAATTATTTGAAAAAATGTGTTTAAAAAATTATTTTGAAGAGTTTTTTTAATTTGGTTTAAATTCAATTTAAATTATTTTTTAAAAAATTTGACAGAATTCTGTAAAAAAAATTCTCATTTATACATTTTTTTCAAATAATTCTTAAAAACATCCCATTTCCACATTCCAGTTTGGAGAATGCTATATCCTGAGAAGGATCTCCTGTGATGATTGAAAACGTTAGAGTTTACAATAGAATATACTGGAATTTCTTTTAAGGTTCAGTTGGTTGCTATTTTTATCTTTCTAAAAAAACGACAGGATTGAAATGCAGAATTATAAGATGTATAACAAACCTACCACTTGTTTATGTTTTATTCCTGCCATTTCCTGTGGACCACACAGTCATAAGCTGACTGGGTTTAGAATGTTAACACACTACTCCAACACTAAACAGTAAGATAGAATTGGAGTGCATTAATAGCATAGCAATAAACTTATTCCGTTATTAGCTCCAGAAATCAAACTTAAGAACAACACCCGCCCTATTAACAACAAGGAAGAGCCTTATAGTGGACTTTGATCCAAGGCTACAAACCACTTATAAAAAAAACTGCCAAATGCTTTAAAACAAAGCCAACAATTCAGTACATTACAACAGTCTTTTGCTTATTATCCAATGCCAAAAACAACAGGAATAGAGCACCAGGGGTATATTCTGTCCTCATAATAGACAATAGATGTGAAAGAGATCTTACGTGCACAGGTCTAACAGATCAGAGACACGTAGAATTAAAGAATACCAACAGGACATTTCTGAAAATAAACTAGTAACAAACTCTGGCCCAATATGAGAGCGAGCCCAGGGTGTCAATTGTCTGGAATAAGGTCAAACTCATAATGAAAGTCTTTCATGATCAAAAACTAAGAACCATGAAGGTATGGGAAATTTTTAAATCATCAAATTGATGAAAAGTACATTAATAGTAAAGACTAAGGATGCACAAATTAATCAGTCACGCACTATCGGCCGATACTGACTAATCGGCTGATTATTAACACAAATTATTAACACTAGCTAATTATATTATGATGATTATTGCACGAAATTATATATTCTTCATAAAAATATAAATTTATAACAATTTGTTATAAAAATATTTTTCAATATAATGTTATTTTTTCTTTTTCAGATTCATGTATTAAATTAAAATGATAAATTATTATTTTGATAAACTTCTTAATTTTAATTAATATCCAAATCCTTAAATGGTTTCCAGTGTTGCTTGGAAAAAGATAAAAACAAGTAGTAGTTTTCCAAGTGCAATTTATGCCAGTTTTCTATTTCAAGAGATGGAATAAATGCTAAAACTTTCACCACCAAAAACATGATAAATCATCTGGAAAAATGTCATCGTGAAAATTTTTAAAAATAAACTTAAAAAGATAAAAACAAAGTTCCGAAATGAAAGAAGCTGGATGTTCATCAGTAACAACAGAAACTCATATCCAAAGACAAGCTACTTTAACTCAATTAATAGAGAAAAAAATTGTGGAATGTCAACGATCCAAAGAAGTTCATTATTTGATTGCATAAATGATAAGTGTAGACATACAGCAATACTTTGTTGCATCATATTTAAGATTTCAAAGATTACTAAAAAAAATTGTCCCTAATTTAAATATTCCCAGAAGAAAATATTTTTCTGAAAATATCATCCTTGATATATTTCAAAAAGTTCAGTCAAAAATTCAGAAAAGCTATTGATAATTCAGAATATTTCTTTAACCGCTGACATTTGGACAGCAACTACAAATAATTTTCCTTTTTAAATGTAACAGCCCCACTGGTTGAAGGATGATTTTCAGCAAGAAAGAGCTGTTTTGCAAATTGTTCCCTTTGAAGATTCCCACACAGCTACACAAATCAGTGAACAGATAAAAATTGTTCTTGAATGGTATAAGTTGACAAGTGGTAAGATATTCTTAGTACTAAGAGATTTCGAAGCAAATATGGTAGCTGGAATTGGGAATTGTAACTTAGAGGTATTATCATGCTTTACACATACACTGCAGCTGATACTAAACAAATGCATATTTTCTCAACAAGATGTGAAAACTATAATCACGGTTAATAGAAATATTGTCACACATTTTAATCATTCTGCTGTAGCTGTAAGCAAATTGGAAGATTTGCGAGACAAGTTAGGTTTGCAAAACAAATTAATTCAAGATGTTCCTACTTGCTGAAATTCTACATACATGTTGCAAAGAAACTTGAAACAGCAAGAAGCCCTTGTCACATATGCTATAGATAATAAAATTCCTTTGAGTACATATCAGTGGTCTCTCATTGAAAAAAATTGTTCTACTTTTAAAATTATTCAAAGAAATTACTGTGGAAAGCCAGCAACCGAGAAACCATATCATCTTCAATAATTCACACAATAGATACTCTGAAATTATTCTTATTATCAAAAGTAAAGAGCAGTAGTTCCTTTAGTGACAATAGGAGGACTAGAAAATTCAATATAAATTCAGCATATATAGAAAAGAAGTCTTTATGGTTGTCATCCTTATTAGATCCAAGATTCAAAATTAAATTTAAAAAAAAAATGGTAGAGGAAGGAAAGAGATGGACAACTGATAGATTAGATGATGTTGATAATTCAAAATCTCAAAAATTAAATTCTGAAGTTTCTGCTTATGGAGACAATCAAGATGGAGGATATCATCTGAGTTTTTCTAATTCATTTGATGAATTAGCTTCTGATGAATGAAAGAATGAATAAGAGCATGTTTTTAAAAAGGAAGAAAAAACAAAAATGTTTTGATCAAGAATTAGAAACATATTTACATTTGCCCCTTAAACAAAGACATGGTGACCTATTTTTGTGGGGGAGAAGTTCAAAAATCACTTTTTCCTAATTTGAACAAAATAGCTATGAAATATCTAAGTCCCCCATCATCTTCCATTGAAAGTGAAAAAATTTTCAGCTGGAGNACCAGCCCAATAAACTGCAATTTTACTATATCTTATTTCTTTACTTATATTTATTATTTTATATTTTTTTTCTGTATTAATTAATTAATTATTTATTACTATTTTCTATGTTTTATTTAATGTATTTTATGCTCTTCTGAATGTGACTCTCTGAAAATTATAAATTTAAGTAACATGTCTTCAATTTTAAATGTGCTTCCTGTTCTATTCGTTAATTCCATTTTACAACCCGAAGTTGACCATTGTACTACATGATAGAAGGCTTTACTTCCGATAAATGTTTTATTTCTACCAGATTTAAGAACTTTAGATATTAATTTTACTTCAAATACATCCAGTTTCTGTAAAGTTTTTCATACAGTAAGCCTATTCATTTAATCATTTGTAAGATTTAATTAAAATATTTCAAACTATTGCTTTGATCATAAATTCTTATTTTGTATGCCAGAAAGCAACAATTTGCAGGAAAATTCCATATGTAAGTTGTATTCTGCAAAAATTTTAGGTTGCAAAAATATATTCCACTCCTATAAAACTATATTATGCCCTTTCAGTTTTCATAAATCAACTATCAATAATCATAATTTTGGCATAAATATTTTAATCAATTCAAACCACAAGAATGTCAGACATAACAAAACTATTCTAATTTCATGTCTTCCTGCCCAAAACTTGTTTCCCCCCACTTCCCTCACCAAAGGTGAAAAAAAAAATTCAATTAGAGCATGTCTCTTTGTTAAAATAATTCACTTTAAATAAGAAACAGGATTGTGCAAATTAATCAAATTGACATGCAACGTGAAAATAATAATTGACCATGCAGCCAAGAAATAGTTACTTCATATTATGTTGTTTCGCATTACTTAACAAAATGTGTTCTGTGCTAAGAACATTGGACAGTATCAGATTTATACATCTGTCTTGTACTGAGGACATTTATGTTCTAACAAAAATATTTTCAGGACAAATGTTGTACATCAATTAAAATTTCAAATAGACTTCACTTACCATTAAAGTCACAGCAGTGGTAGTCTCTGTGCTGATTTCTAAAGATATTTTAATTTTATCAGCATATCAATTAATATCTTCATTGGATATTCTTGATATTGAAAAAATTTCTGAAAGATTTAAAAATATGATTAATTTTCTTAAAAATTGTAACCAAAAGTAGTTTATTTTCTTGCACATGTTAGAAAAAAGACTAAGGACCAGTTCCACAAGTTTTAATCTCCAGATTAAATGGACTTTAATCTGTAGAATTACTCTTGATGCACTGCATGAGTATAAATCTGCAGATAAACTGCCAGATAAGTCAATTGGATAATTTTAGACAGTCAAATTTTATTCTGTAAATTAGTGATTTATTCACTAATTTACAGAATAAAATTTGACCAACCAGCTCCAATTCCAACACAAGTGGTCTTTAGTTCTATAATTTAAACCATGTTTATCCTAATCCTGACAATTTTAAAAAGTGATAAAGATCCATTGTGTTAGCTATATGCTCCTCTAATAATCGATTGCACGTATTACATTTCATGAGAATGATAGATTTGCTTTTGTCAGCTGAGCCACGTGACTTTGTTGTGATGCATCCATCTTCTTGTGTACTCCAAATTAGATCTCCAAATTAGTGTTTCATATCCTGTGGCTGGGCTGGGTAGAATTTTTAAGCATGTGGGGGGGCCTTCCATCTGTAGTATTCTTTCTCCATATCAGGTAATCCTGCTATTAGAGATTCCAATTCAGGGATGGGGTTTAAGTCTTTCGTGGCCGGAGGGGGTGCAAACTTCGGTCCTAAGCTCGACACTTTGACTGCATAAGTCGGTAACTTCCCACACGAGGTACAGAAATGAGAATTGTCGCTGATTCCAGGGTGTCTGCATCTGTAGGAGCCATCGGAGTTTCCGTTGATAGCGCATCCTTAAGATGTTTGTTAGTCTTTCTTGTACGGCTACAAGCCGAGCACTCTTGGGTTAAGAAGTAAGGGTTCTTATCAAAAAGTATGTTCTAGTTCTTGATCAATTCTGCAATATTGGTGTATATTTGCTTCCTTGTTGTGTGGATGGCCCGATTCAAGCACATACTCTGCACATTAGCAAGTAATGGTTCACTACTGGGTGGGAGTCAAATAAGTGGGTCTTTTTTATAATTATTTTTGGATTAATTGTCAGAGTTAAGCAAATCTCACTTTATATAACAATTCTTATTATGATGCATGTATTTTAAAATATTGTACTAAATAGATTACAAAAACTTTCCAGTAACCTGATATTTCAACAAAATAGGGACATTTTTGACCTCCTCCCGAGGTCTTCATCACATTTAACAATACAAAGTGTATAACAGAATATTTCAAAAAGCCTTTTGCAAGCATAGAATCTTAAACAAGCTATAAACATTTCAATGAGTTTGTGACTACTGATAAGAATTTCACTGACAAACATGATGTGTCTATTTATCACAATGTATTTGAGGTCAACACATTTGCTTATCCTCTAATATAACATCTACAAGCAAGCAGGTCTTTAAAGCTTGAACTTTGAGAGGTATTGTATTGATAAAATGCATGTCATTTGAGATATATATCAACCGTAATTTTAAACATTGTTAGAACAATTCCTGAAAAAAACAAGTGCACCAACGTTCTTACAGAAATACCTGAATTATTGCAATTCTTGATTTACCGCAATTTGTAATTTGATACCAAAATTCCAATTATTGCACTCCACATTCCAATTATCGTGGCTACAAGACAGCCCACTATATATGCAACCAGAATTACATTTAGTTCAAGCCACCAATCTCCAGGTAGCACTCTTGCAGCACTTTGTTTCTATGAAACACTGCATGCTCACTACTCCCCAGTAACTGTCCACTTTTGCCTGAAGAACATTTGGATATTTATTTCTCTACTTATTTACCCATATAAAAAAAGGCTAAAAGAAAGAATGATGATATCACGTCTACAACTATGTCTGAAAACAATACATCCAAATTATTATAAATTCAAATGTTTTTTTTTTACTGTTATCACATTAAACAGAAATTTTGAAATTAAATTGCAGTGAATACAAAAATTAAAATCGATAGTTTGTATTTACAGTGGAACCCCGGTTAACGAACGTCCTGGTTAACGACCAAATCGGTTAACGAACTTTTATTTTGCAAAAAATTTGTCTCGAATAACGAACAAAATTCGGATAATGAACGTAACGGTATTTTGTGTCAAATTTTAGTTGGTGTTAGGCATGCGCGAGTTAAGCATTGCTTTTCCGAGTGTTTGTGCTATACTTCTTTTTTTTCAGTTTTGTGATTTATATATTTAATCAATATGGCATCCAACAAAGAAAAGTCATAGTGGCAACAGAAAACGACATAGTGGCAACAGAAAACGACAGCGCAATATAAACGACAATGTGCTATCGCATTTGTGAAAAATTTTGATTAAAAGAGTAAGACAATCAACTTTAGATCAATTTCTTGTTCCTTACGGAAAGAGTTTGTTTGTTTGTTAAGTTATGGCAATGCAACACTTGGGCGATCTGCCTAGGGGAATGCCTTCTGGGAGGTGTTTTTAAGTGAAACTGGCCCCTATTTAGGCATTACAGACGGAGAAAACCTGGAAAACTCCACGTGGCCAGCCCGTCTGAGCGAGGTGCAAACCCACAAACAAACTCCCCGTGTTCAAGGTACGAAGACCACTTAGCCACTGGTAGGTTTTTTTACCGAAAGAGACTTCGACTCAAAGAATCTTCCAATGAAGTGCTACCCGTTATTTTTTTGGAGGGGATTCCCCTTCTAAGCATTAAGGTTTGTATATCTCCACTTTTCTGCCACCAACTACAACAAACGAAGGTAAGTACAGGGCTATTTTATTAAACAAAGTTTACATGTTTGTTGCTGTAATGATAGATACTACGTTTTCCTACATTTTCATGAAAGAAAATTACTGTGTCATACAAATAAAATGACAAAAATTTCAGAGACTAGAACGGATTAATTGCATTTACATTAACTTCTATGGGAAAAATTGCTTCGGTTAACGAACAATTCAGTTAACAAACGGAGTCGTGGAACGGATTAAGTTCGTTAACCGGGGTTCCACTGTATGTGCAAGCTATTTAGTTACGCTGTCTGAACTTTCGTTGCCCAAACGCAGCATTACATTGCCGTTTTCAATGTTCATGCACAGCTGCACACCCCCACTACCCACCATATTGGTATATATTATTGCTTACAGCTTTGTTTATGCCAGCAGCAAACAAGTGCCTCTACACAAATTCTCACTAGCCTAAACAGCCAGCTTTTGTCAAAACTATCATCTAATGTTTTCAACCTACTCTGAAAGTCTTCATCAGAAATTTGTAATATCCTTTTAATTTTTGTTTCAAATTGAATGAAACTTTTTATTTTTACCGTCATGTGCATTACCAAATTCTTCGATGTGGAGCTTATAATGTGGTGTCAAAGCACGTTTGCCATGCTTTTGAGATTTTTTTTTTCTTTGTTATTAATGCAACTCCATTCCTTGTTTGCCTTGAAAATTTGAAGTGCCTCCATCTCTCTGATATGCTCCCCACTTAGATTTTTTTAACATGGAGGTTTGTTGAAATAGTGGGATGAGAATTATCCCACTATTTCAACAATTCTTCTGATGCATATATTGAAGGGCTGCAACAATTTTTTTTTTATATCGGTACAAGTCATGCGTGTTGGCTGGAATGTAAATTGGCTCAAATTCAGGTTTGTGGCAGACATTAGTTAGAATGTTACCTCCTTCCAAGTATATGTGCAGATCTAGGAAATGTACCTCTCTTTCGCTTGATTGGTCAAGTTGTAATGTGAGCTCTGTAAGGATTATCATTTGTGCATCATACAAACTCCTCTACCTGTGATCCGTTCTTCCATATAATGAGCATGTCATCGATGCATCTCTTATATAGTATGAATTTCCTATTGGCCTTTGTTGGATGTTAATAACTAACCTGTTGACCATATCTAATATATTAAATCACTATTAAATATTGTTCTTGTATTCAATCAGGTTTTTGAGCCTAGCATAGCAGGCTTTGAGATATCTCTGTTCTGATTGCTCTTTTCATGCACATATTTCTCACCTTACTGATAAGGGGTTTGCATCCCACGGTTGAGAAATTCGGTAAATAGACATGGGATATTCTCCCTGCATTCCTTCAAAAAAAAATAGGAATTTTCTCTAGCAGCCATTAGAATTAGGACCATTTTGCAATAAATCTTAGCAAGCATAACCATATTATATTAACAGTTACACTACTCAAAACTGGACAACTTCTAACTAAACAGTCCAGCTTTTGTCAAAACTAACATCTAATGGTTTTCATTTACTCTGAAGGTCTACGTCAAGAATTTGAAATCTGTTCTTTACTGCTATACTATTAATGCACTCCAATTCTATACTGCTATACTTATTAATGCACTCCAATTCTCCATTACTATCTTTAGCATTGAAGTAACACTAAATCCAGCCAGCATATGGCCAGGTAAACAATTACATCCAAACTTAGGCCAGATTGCCTACAATAAACTTAGAGAGATGCATATATCACCTATTAGCTAACTGCCTAAAAGACTATCGGTACACCATCCATGATACGTTTGAACTGTTAAAAAGATTCAAACGAAATTAAACTGGCATTAAGCAAGTACACCACAGTGCTAGACTATCTCCATGTTTCCATTCATTAGATTTGAGCCTTTCTTGCATTCTAATGGATACTGAATTTTTCTAAGCTGATAATACACTATTAAATAACTCCACTAAAACCTTTAAACTATACCAGCAAAAATAATTTAAACACATTTTTGCTAGTATAGTTTAAAGGTTTTATTGGAGTTATTTAAAATTCTAAGGGATAACCTAGTACCAACAACGAATTTATAACATCAGTACATACTTGAATTAGCACACCTCTGCTAAACCTCATTTTTTAGCTTTAATAAGCAAACTTACCTGCAAAAATAAGGTGTATCAACTAGTGATGTGTTGGATTTTTGTATCCGCGGATATCCAAAAGAAAAAAAATCTGTATCTGTTACTTTTTAGCAAATCTTTAACGGATCTTTTATCTTTAAAATTTCATATAAGTAATGAAATTCATTTAAGATAGGTAGCAATAAAATACTAATAACTTCAATTCAAATCACTTTTTATTTCTTAAAATCACATATTTGGCACATTCATATTGCAAAAATTTTATCATGCAAAAATCATTTACTATTGTAAAATATTTCCATATTACACTGCTAAACTTTTTTGTCAACATTGTTTTTATTTTAATTTAACTCAACACTCTAAAAACACAAATGTAATCTATGCTATCCTGTGTCACACTAAACTATAAACAAAAACATGCGCAGTGCAAGTTAAAACATGTCGTGTTACTAATGCAAAGCGTCAACTATTGAGCCAAGGTCATACGCACCAGCTTCGACTGAGTACGAAAGTTGAGATCCGTATCCACGGATATACATTTTTAACAATCCAGCACATAAACAGAGGGCTACCTGTTGGTACTAGTTATGTGAACTGATGGTTTACTTGCTCAAGAACAAAACAATACATGCGTTCTTTCTTCAGATACTTTAATATACCCATCACATTGATGACATTTTGATACTTTGGAAACCCAAACCTGACATGAATAAACTGTTGCAAAAATTTAATGTCAACCCTTACCAACTTACACTTAAAATAGACAAAACTAGCACCAACAAAATCCATTTTCTTGATCCCTACATCATGTTAATATATTCCAGACTTGCAGAATTTGTTTTATCATAAAAATAGCAACCTACTGAACTTTAAAAGAAATTCCAGGATATTTTATTGTAAATTCTAATGTTTTCAATTGTCACAGGAGAGGATATAGCTTTCTACAAATTGGAATGCGGAAATAGATTGTTTTTAAGAATTATTTGAAAAAATGTGTTTAAAAAATTATTTTGAAGAGTTTTTTTAATTTGGTTTAAATTCAATTTAAATTATTTTTTAAAAAATTTGACAGAATTCTGTAAAAAAAATTCTCATTTATACATTTTTTTCAAATAATTCTTAAAAACATCCCATTTCCACATTCCAGTTTGGAGAATGCTATATCCTGAGAAGGATCTCCTGTGATGATTGAAAACGTTAGAGTTTACAATAGAATATACTGGAATTTCTTTTAAGGTTCAGTTGGTTGCTATTTTTATCTTTCTAAAAAAACGACAGGATTGAAATGCAGAATTATAAGATGTATAACAAACCTACCACTTGTTTATGTTTTATTCCTGCCATTTCCTGTGGACCACACAGTCATAAGCTGACTGGGTTTAGAATGTTAACACACTACTCCAACACTAAACAGTAAGATAGAATTGGAGTGCATTAATAGCATAGCAATAAACTTATTCCGTTATTAGCTCCAGAAATCAAACTTAAGAACAACACCCGCCCTATTAACAACAAGGAAGAGCCTTATAGTGGACTTTGATCCAAGGCTACAAACCACTTATAAAAAAAACTGCCAAATGCTTTAAAACAAAGCCAACAATTCAGTACATTACAACAGTCTTTTGCTTATTATCCAATGCCAAAAACAACAGGAATAGAGCACCAGGGGTATATTCTGTCCTCATAATAGACAATAGATGTGAAAGAGATCTTACGTGCACAGGTCTAACAGATCAGAGACACGTAGAATTAAAGAATACCAACAGGACATTTCTGAAAATAAACTAGTAACAAACTCTGGCCCAATATGAGAGCGAGCCCAGGGTGTCAATTGTCTGGAATAAGGTCAAACTCATAATGAAAGTCTTTCATGATCAAAAACTAAGAACCATGAAGGTATGGGAAATTTTTAAATCATCAAATTGATGAAAAGTACATTAATAGTAAAGACTAAGGATGCACAAATTAATCAGTCACGCACTATCGGCCGATACTGACTAATCGGCTGATTATTAACACAAATTATTAACACTAGCTAATTATATTATGATGATTATTGCACGAAATTATATATTCTTCATAAAAATATAAATTTATAACAATTTGTTATAAAAATATTTTTCAATATAATGTTATTTTTTCTTTTTCAGATTCATGTATTAAATTAAAATGATAAATTATTATTTTGATAAACTTCTTAATTTTAATTAATATCCAAATCCTTAAATGGTTTCCAGTGTTGCTTGGAAAAAGATAAAAACAAGTAGTAGTTTTCCAAGTGCAATTTATGCCAGTTTTCTATTTCAAGAGATGGAATAAATGCTAAAACTTTCACCACCAAAAACATGATAAATCATCTGGAAAAATGTCATCGTGAAAATTTTTAAAAATAAACTTAAAAAGATAAAAACAAAGTTCCGAAATGAAAGAAGCTGGATGTTCATCAGTAACAACAGAAACTCATATCCAAAGACAAGCTACTTTAACTCAATTAATAGAGAAAAAAATTGTGGAATGTCAACGATCCAAAGAAGTTCATTATTTGATTGCATAAATGATAAGTGTAGACATACAGCAATACTTTGTTGCATCATATTTAAGATTTCAAAGATTACTAAAAAAAATTGTCCCTAATTTAAATATTCCCAGAAGAAAATATTTTTCTGAAAATATCATCCTTGATATATTTCAAAAAGTTCAGTCAAAAATTCAGAAAAGCTATTGATAATTCAGAATATTTCTTTAACCGCTGACATTTGGACAGCAACTACAAATAATTTTCCTTTTTAAATGTAACAGCCCCACTGGTTGAAGGATGATTTTCAGCAAGAAAGAGCTGTTTTGCAAATTGTTCCCTTTGAAGATTCCCACACAGCTACACAAATCAGTGAACAGATAAAAATTGTTCTTGAATGGTATAAGTTGACAAGTGGTAAGATATTCTTAGTACTAAGAGATTTCGAAGCAAATATGGTAGCTGGAATTGGGAATTGTAACTTAGAGGTATTATCATGCTTTACACATACACTGCAGCTGATACTAAACAAATGCATATTTTCTCAACAAGATGTGAAAACTATAATCACGGTTAATAGAAATATTGTCACACATTTTAATCATTCTGCTGTAGCTGTAAGCAAATTGGAAGATTTGCGAGACAAGTTAGGTTTGCAAAACAAATTAATTCAAGATGTTCCTACTTGCTGAAATTCTACATACATGTTGCAAAGAAACTTGAAACAGCAAGAAGCCCTTGTCACATATGCTATAGATAATAAAATTCCTTTGAGTACATATCAGTGGTCTCTCATTGAAAAAAATTGTTCTACTTTTAAAATTATTCAAAGAAATTACTGTGGAAAGCCAGCAACCGAGAAACCATATCATCTTCAATAATTCACACAATAGATACTCTGAAATTATTCTTATTATCAAAAGTAAAGAGCAGTAGTTCCTTTAGTGACAATAGGAGGACTAGAAAATTCAATATAAATTCAGCATATATAGAAAAGAAGTCTTTATGGTTGTCATCCTTATTAGATCCAAGATTCAAAATTAAATTTAAAAAAAAAATGGTAGAGGAAGGAAAGAGATGGACAACTGATAGATTAGATGATGTTGATAATTCAAAATCTCAAAAATTAAATTCTGAAGTTTCTGCTTATGGAGACAATCAAGATGGAGGATATCATCTGAGTTTTTCTAATTCATTTGATGAATTAGCTTCTGATGAATGAAAGAATGAATAAGAGCATGTTTTTAAAAAGGAAGAAAAAACAAAAATGTTTTGATCAAGAATTAGAAACATATTTACATTTGCCCCTTAAACAAAGACATGGTGACCTATTTTTGTGGGGGAGAAGTTCAAAAATCACTTTTTCCTAATTTGAACAAAATAGCTATGAAATATCTAAGTCCCCCATCATCTTCCATTGAAAGTGAAAAAATTTTCAGCTGGAGGTAACATTTAAGAGAGCTGAAAATGGTGAAATTCTCATGTTTTTTTATTAGTTTCTTCAGGGTTTTAAAGTTTGAATATTAAATTTTTATTTGTTTTATATATTTAAAGTTTAAACTTTAAATAAAACAGATAGTTTTGAATAGGTTACATTATGATATGTATTGATAAAAGAAATAATTTAAGTTAAAATTTTTTTAATATTTAGATTGTCATGTAATAAATAATAAATATATAACAGAACTTTATTATGTTTTATTACTAGCCTTATACGTAACATTATAACAAAAATATTAAAATGCAAAGTTGGCCGATTATTAAAATCGATTAATCGGGAAAATGGCTGATACGGCCAATTACTTACCAATTAATCAGTGCATCCTTAGTAAAGACAAACAATATCCACCATATGGCAGTTGTCAGCTGATAAACCTTTAAAAAGCAAATGGCCCTCTGAGAACTTGTAATATCATTTATCCATTTCCTTTCTGCAAAAGTGAAAAAAAAAGTTGAAATACAAAAAAAGTGAGTGCAATAGTGACAAAACAAAGTGAAAACAGAAGAAAAACTCAGCAAAATAGTAGTGAAGATTGTATTTAACCAAAACAGAATAAAAAAACAAAAAAGCATTTAAAAAATTTCTGTATATACTAGTGATGAGACGATACCAAAATTTCTCCAATTTGTTTGAATACTTTCTGAAGTTTATTTTAGTTTAGAAAAATTAACTATTTACATTATCAGCACAACATATTCATGAATTAATAAACAAAGCTTAAGAATAGAAAACAATTGGCAAATCCAGAATCGATTTTCACATTTCTTTTGAAAGATTGATTCTGTATTTTCCAGTCATTTTCCCATTTTTAAGCTTGGCATTTATTAATTAAAGACCTCATGGAAGTATAGTGCTAACTCTCAATCACATTTCTGAGGTAACTGAGTTTGAATGTTCATACAATTTTAGGACTTTTTTCGAATAATTGAGCCACTCAATTGCCAAATTGATTAACTCCACAAAACAAAAAGTATAAAAATTGAGAATACAAATTAGTTTAAAAATTTTTTTTTAAACTTTAAATTTAAATAAACATTGCAGAATGTATTATATATTATATTAAAGCATAGCTTCAACATAAATTTTATGTGAAAAATTTAACTATTAAACGCCCAAGCCGCATGTTGTCATCTGGTTAAAGATTTACAAATGGAGTTAATCTATTTGGCTTGTGAACAGCTCAATTGGGGTGTTAATAATTTTGCACTTCGAACATTACCTGTAGATGTGATTGTCATCTCAATGTTTTGAGATTTTTCATTTTAGAATTTTTTTTCAAACATTCAAATTCAATTACCTCAAACGTAATTCTGAAAGTAAGCACTATTCATCTCTGAGGGCTTCATTGTGCTCTTAATATAAATTGTTAATTTTCTAAACTAAAATAAACTTTAGAAAGTATTCAAAACAACCAAAAATCATATCAGAATCTGAATCAAAATCAAGAGAAGTTTGGTATTGTCCAATCATTAAAGCAGTGTTAAAATTCAAAACACAAAATTTTTACATGTTAAATCTGAACTGAAACGAAGATGGTCTGAAGCATGCAAGAAGAAAATATTTCTTGAAAAATCTTGTGACTAGTTACAAGAAATATTTGAAATTCCAATAGTAGAAGCAGAAACACTAAAATTCAGGCCATCCATTTTGCACACCAGAATCCTTATGTTCAAGAATTTACTACACCCAGCGTACAAGTTGTCCATTAAGAAATGGCAATTCAAATCAGAACACATGAAAGACATTGTTAGGCAAAGAAAGATAAAAATTCAAGAGGAATTTAAAAAGAAACTAGGTTTAATGGCAGATGTACCCAAGACCAGGTTTGGATATACAAAGAATGGCAACATCAGTCTGAAATTTTTCATATATCCAAAATCAGCAGCCAAAACAATGGGCCTCCACACTACTCTAATAATACATTTCAAAGTCACGTTATTAACCATTTCAAGTGTGCACAAAATCCACGTGGAAAAATTCAATATGCTACAGAAACCACAAAACCTTACATATAAACAAATTCATGGTATCAGAGTTGATAGATATACTGGTCCTTGCACTATGCTCTAAAGTCCAGTTAATGTGTCAGGCTGCCAATAGCTGGCATTAGAGTCATACTTAGATGGAAGAAGTCGGTTTATCTATTTGGTTAGTTTAGTAATAATTTTCATACATTTTGTAATTTTTCTCTGAGAAAAAGAAACAAACATGCCATATAAATGTTTTGCACCTGGGTGTAAGTCTACTGTAAATCTGATGAAAAGCAGCATTTTTTACACCACCTCCGAAGCAGTTAGATAAATGGAAATGTTTAATTCCTTGAAAAACTTTACAACAAGAAAATCTCAAATATGTGACTAGCATTTTGATGAAAGATTTCTGATTAACAATTACATTCATATAATTGAGGGTAAAAGAGCTGAGATTTCCTATGGAAAATGGCAACTAACACAAGATGCTTATCCTTTAAATTTTCTCAATTGCCTGTCATTTATCAGTTAAAGTTCCTAAATTATGGCAGTCTCCAAGCAAAAGGAAAACTACTGCCAACATAAATAATAATTCAAAAGTGCAACAGTATCAAGTAAGTAAAATGTCCTTTTAATAATGATGTTTAAAAACATTAATAAATTATTTGCTTTTTGAAGTAACTAGCTGGTGCAATTGAAGATCCATCAAATTCACATTCTGATCTATCAGCATCAGGTATAACGTGTAGAAATAGCATAAAACAGTAGTACAATTCTTTTGCCTCTTATGTCTTCATTAAATTCTTGATTATTCACAATCATTGTCTATGTTGGATTCTGTACAGTAATAAGACTTATTATACTGGTGTTTTCATTTTAGCAAATAGAGATCTTATTCAGAAAAACAAAATGTTTTATTTTTTATCTGTATAATCCATATTTGTGTTATAGACCTGATGGACCATCTTCAGCAGGTTTACATTATAATTCTATAAGAAAATTTTTAAATAAAAACTCATTTAATTTAAATAATTTACACATACCTTATTGTTTATCTCCAACACAAAAATATAGATAGGAATAATTATAGGATGGCTTTATAACAATGTTAATTTTGAAGAAAAATTGCCTGTATAAAAAAAATGATAAAACTTGTTTAAAATTTAAAGTTTTCTAAATGGATTTAAAATTGGCTATTACTTATCCAGCACATTTGTTCAATCTTATTAGACTTATTTAAAGAGAACACTAAAGGAAAGAGATATCTTTCTGCATGTGACTCCCCTACCAGGCTTTCTTAGTAACCTGACTTTGTGAAGTCTGCTTAACATTGGCCAGCCTTCTGGAATTGTCAAAGCAGCTTTTGTCACAAAATTTGTGTTTTAACTGCATTTTTTAAATTAATCTCTGAACTTGCAGACCATGATTTGTATCACAAGAAATCTTTGACTATATAATACATTACTTGGCAGGCTATGTAGTCCATAAAGTCAAGCCCTCAATTAAATGTACAGAGTGCAGCAATTAACTGATTTTCATTGATGTCCCCTGGCTGCTATGCTAACGAACAAAAAATATCACAGGGAAATTTAACTGCCATCTGGAAAGGTTTTCAATTTACTAAATTGGGCAGAAAAAAATTACAAATCAAAAGTTGTTGAATGTTACAAAACATTCCTATTCTGATATCATTGATGGGATATTACTCTTAAAGAAATTAAATTTGTACTTTCTTGGATGCACTAAATATAATCATAAAAGTACTATAACTACTGCCATATTACATTTCTACGTGGTATGTAGGCTGCATTTTTTTGTACGTGCTAGAAATTCTCAGCTTGCTTGCTTGTTCAAATGAGTAAAAATAATAATAAACAACTGCACATTGGAGTAAACTAAACAACACGTACCTCAGAAAATCTAACTGATGCATTAAAATTTAACACTACAAATGTTTTCAGACCCCTCCTGGGTCCTTCAGGTAAAGAATCATTTGAAAACGTTATTAAATACGAAAAAACATTGGTTTGGAATGATTTTTAAATCAGAAAGATAGAACGGAATCATGTGATCAATACCTCCGAATGTCAAAGCTTCTACGTCATATTGAGAGTTATGAGTCTAAAAAGCACAGAAAACTTCCCAAAACAATAGGTTTTTTTTTCCAATGGGTCAGAACATTTAAAACTGTTTGCAAAATACTAGCATATCAATCATCATCAACTACTACTTTTCAGATTTTGATAAATTAAATTTTATTTTAAAATTTAATGTATCTCTGTACTTTTAATAAAAATTAAAAACAATAACAGATTTTTAAATATCTTAATTTAAAACTGTTATATTGTTACATATTGTATATTCAAGTTTAGTGCATAATTTCTTTGTACAATGTATCTCTTTAATAAATCATGCATTTCCATTTTTGCTATATTGTATTTTTCATTGCATATCTATGACAATATAATTGCGAAAACCATAATTATCCTCTAATGCATTTAAGCAGCCACAGAAATTTAACTCAAAGGCAAACTTTATTCTTAAAATAATTGTAATCCTACATAAGTACACAATTCTATTTGATTCAACAGTGATAAACAGTATTTGGGACATCTTACACTTTTGTATTCTTGGAATAAGCAATGCAACCTCTTGTATATGGAATAAGCAATGCAACCTCTTGTATATTCAAGTCATGACATTCACGTTGTTTTTCTATATTTAGTAGTTTATAATCATTTTCTTAATCTGCATCATTTTCTTAAGATTCTGCACCATTTTCTTAAGATTCTGCACCATTTTCTTAAGATTCTGCACGCAATTTCTTATGACATTCACGTTGTTTTTCTATATTTAGTAGTTTATAAGATTCTGCACCATTAAAAGTAGAATATGAAAACAGATTTATTAATTAATAGCCTACTGACATCTTTTCTTGTTTATAAGCAGGCATATACAAATTATATATACGATTAAAACATCAAGTAATGTCTTTTGGACTCTTATCACTTTTCATTCTATTTTTTAAACTGACTTGAAGTCAAGACATTCATTCTCCTTCTTCTAACAGCCCAATTTGATTCCAATTTGATATATCTGATTCTAAAAGACTGATCTCTATTGACTTTTAATCCTTTTCTCTCTAACCTGTTCCTGGCTCAACTTTACTCTCTATCTAATGAGATAGTAGATAGAAGCTCAACTTTACTCTATCTAGCTCCTTGTCACTGCGTCTTGCAACAATTCAACTATTAATAACATGAGCTTAAAATTGACACACTCAAAATCCACTCTAAATCCCATTTTTGTAACACTAACCTAACCTACATCTGCATGACCATTTACATAAATTTAATTTTGGAATTGTATAGAACTCTCATTTGACCCCTTTTATTCCTGACTCAAAAGTTTCAACGAGAACATCACATAATAATATATAGTTAAAAAAAGTTAGTTAGGC